GTTTTTGTTATTAAATATACATAAGAATTCATGGCAAATCAATTGGTTCTGTCAAGCTAGCTATATGTTGTGTATTATCAACGATTTTCTTCAGCCCATATTCACATTTCTCAAAAGATGGAGAGAAGAACCTATAATTAGCTTTTCGAGAAATTTCCAAACGAGACAAACAAAAGGGGGGTAAAAGACCACTCAATAACCGTGTATAAGCTCAACACATAGAAAATATTCCTCAATTCTTATACCATCATGTTTTGCCTTCACAGATTCTTAAGAACTTCATAATCTTTCTCTAATTGCTTAGTTTTACATCTTGCGCTTTTGTCTGGAACCAAATTTCAAGATAAAATCAAATTCTTCAAATAGAAAGACAAATCTAATTATTCAAACTCAACAGACCAACAAAAAAATGGAAATGGATATAAGATGCATGAAATTATAAAATTGGAGAACTGGAGCAGTGAAAACTGGAAAAATGAACAACATCTCATTGGTCACTATTGCATCTACAGTACCCAAAAACTGCCTTTTTTTTTATACAGTATTGAAATACATTCTCAAAAAAATGTATTTTTCATGTTTTTTAGTAACTTTTTTTTTACCAAACATTCTTAAAAAATCACTCAATATCCTTTTCTTTTTTCTTTTTTTTTTTTTTTTGTCTTCCTCTCGTGTATTTATGCTTATTATCATGAAGTGTAGATTTGTCTAGTTTTCAATCTTTGCAATTGACATTGAGCACCTCTTTCTTTACGGCTAAGCCTATTTAAACTTCAATTTATAATTTTATGTATGATCAAAATTTATATATTTGATATAAATGTTTGATTATCCAAATATCACATAAAAATTTATAGGTGTATTTGAAAATTGTATATCATTAGGAAGAGTAAAGTTTAGTTGGTGAAGTTCATAACTGATTTATTGTAGTTCTATTTGTGTCAACTTTCCAAATACAAGGTTGCGACTCATTTTGAACTTGTGGTAATTACGTAAAACCAGGTGTTTAGTTTGATGTTTTTAAAAATCAAGTTTACACTTTATTTAATCAAAAATCAGGTTTTAATTGATATTTTAAATTAAATTAATCTATATATTCACCCCCACCCCCAAATTAAATCTAATCCAAACCCTAAATGTATTCCAACATTTCTTCACTCCACTCTCCCGCCGCCACCACCGTCTACGCCCCCTCCCCCTCCCATTCTCCCTCATTTCCCTCCCCCTCTCTCCCTCCATCTCCCCTCCGTTCTCGCAGCAGCGTCACGACAGCAGGAAGGAGGAAGGACATTGGCCATGGAACTTACAGCAGAAAGTAATGGGTTAATCACATGAACACTGGTTGAATCTGGTGCTATACAGTTAACTGGCTCCCCATATTTTCCATCATCTACTATCAAACCTTCACTTAAGTCAAATTTTATCTTTGTCTAAGGTTTTGAAGGTGCAGCAAAAGAAGACGAAGCACAGTAATTTCATCTGATTCAACACCAGGGAGCTTGGATTCTTTCAACACGGTATTTTTCTGAGCTTCTTCGGAATAAATTGCAGGTGAAAAGGTAAATTAATTTGAGAATGCTTTGCATTCTATTTTTTGAGACCTCATGATTTCTCTCTTACCATGGTTCGGCTGCTTCTATTGTTGGAATAGATGATTATTTTTCCTTTTGGTGTATTGTTAATATTGTTGTGGCGATAGTTGTGGTGGGGTCGACGGTGATGATGGTGGTTTTCTTGGTGTGGTGGTGCAGGCGGGGATGGGATGGTGGTTTTTTTTATTATTATGGTGGTGGTGTGACGGGGACGACGATGTTGATGGTGTTGTGCAGGCGACGACGGTGGTGGTTTAGATGGTGGTTGTTGTTGGTGTTATTGTTGGTGATTATGCTTGGGAATGAAGTTGTGTTGCCACAGATCTGGGGATGTGTAATATCGCAGAACTGGGGATGTGTGGTTGTGGAGGTGTGGTGGTGTGTTTTGGGCGGTGGTGGTGTGTTGGCGGTCGTGTGGTGGTGATGGTGATTCATGTGGTGGTGGTCTTTTTTTGTTATTGTTGTGACGGGGTCAACGGCGGTGGTTATTCTTTTTGGTGTCTGTGACCTAACTATTGAACTGTGACTTTAAAATTGATAATTTGTAACTAAAAAAAGAATTTTTGATCAACAAATTTGAAAATACGTGACCTATGACATATAATTTTTTTGATCTGTGACCAATAGAATAATCTGTGACCTATAAAATTTTTGATTTGTGACCTATAAAATTTTAGATTTGTGACCTCGAAATAATTTGTGACCTACAAAATTTTTGATCTGTGAACGATAAAAAATGTGACCTAAAAAATTTAGATTTGTGATCTCGAAATAATCTGTGACCTACAAAATTTTTGATCTGTGACCGGAGAAAGTCGCCGGAGCAATAGGGGAAGGGGAGGTGGGGGTGGGTTAGGGTGAAGTGGATTAATTATATTATATTACAGTTTAATATTTAATTTAATATAATAATTATGACATATAATTAATTAATTAATTAATGGAAAACCTGATTTTTGCAATTTTAAAACTTAGGGCCTGATTTTTTATTTCATGATAGATAATACTTGATTCATGAATTTTTCCCTTTGAACTTATTTTCTCCATAGCCCAAAAGTTCCATGGAGCATGAATTAGTAGAAGAGGCGGGCTGGATCTGATAATATTAGCAAAATGACACAAATAGCATTACAATGACTATTATAGAGGAAAGGACACAAAAGCTTACAAATGATAACACTCTTTTGATGACTTTCAAATGGGAACACTTTTTAAAGTTATTAGATTCCCTTCTACACAGCATATTTTGACTCTTACCTTCGCTTCCTTCGATTTCTGGTTCTTGGCTGAACCAACTATTAGGTCTTTCGACCCTCAAAGCCATACGGTATGCCTATAGTAAAGACACACTTAACAACAATCAAAGAAATAATTATTTGCTATTTAATTTTCTTCTTATGGTTGAGAATTTCTTTCGAGATGCAAAGAATCGTGGTGATAAAGATTTCTTCCCCTATCCCCACCACTCTTTTGCCATCCCTTGCATGGTGATATATGATGACAATTTGCCGGTTGTTAATGCGCTGCAAGGGGGCTGGGAAATTATTTTTTTTTTTTTTCTACTTTTTCTTTCATTCATTAGACACTGTCACGTAGACGGAAGATCATGGCCGAAACGATGCATTAAAATGAGAACTAAAATAGGGACGGATGGAGGGGTGCGTACCCCATCGTAAAAAAAATAAAAAATCCAGTCCTTTTTATTGAGCAATTATCGGGCCAATTTGATATTATAATTCTCAACTATTACGAATCGTTTTGAAATACTCACAGTGTGCTTCACGCACGTTTCAATTAGCAAAAGGTCGGGAATGTTGAGTTAAAACGGTTGCATGAAATGAATTTAATAAATCTAATTCGTATTTGTTACTTTTTAGCTTATTTTTTGGCTGTATTTTTTGATCTTCGGTGTAGATTATTGGTATCGTTTCGAAGAACTCGCGATCAACCATGCGACGAATATTCGAAATGAAAATTTGTTAAACAGTGGACTTGAAATAGCTAGTAAAAATGGTTACTTAATATGGTTTAATAATTTTATTTTAAGTTAATTTCATTGTGTCAAATATGAAAATTTAAGGGTAAGGTTCATTATGTCTCTATTTTCATCTTTTCATTTCTCTCGAATTGTCAAATTCCTGTAAAAAAAAAACCAATCATGTTTTGTGTATACTTTGGTGCACCGACAAACTGTCATTTGACAATTTTAAAAGAAAAATAATTTTCCCTCCAATCATTATTTTACAACAAAGCAAGTGTCAAACATGATATACACTTTGGAGTGTACAAATATTTTCCAAAATAAAATTACAAGCCCCAGATGATTAATCTTGGTTCTACCCCAGACTAAAATCTTTTTTCATCTGCATTGCATGGGACACCCACCAGTTTACACGTACAACTGGGGTACTGAATTATACGTTTCATCTACCAGCCTACCACCACTTATAGTTCCTATAAAGTCATAAACATGGAAAGACCTACCACTTTCTCAAAACTGGAAATATGAATTGTGTAACATGTGCACCCAACTACCAACTATTATTGAGTGATCAAATCAAGTATAAAGAATATATGTAGGGAAGAACTACTTCCCATATAAATTTAACAAACAAAATAATGAACCCATTCATCTAAAAGTACAAGTTGTTAAAGACGTAATATTTAATTTATTTGTAGTTACTCTTTCGATGTGCATATCACGTGTTTAATCCAATTTTTAGCCATATAATAGTTAAACCCAATTCATATCTTAGCAAGTCATGCCCCTATCTTTCACTGCGAGCTATTTTTTATCGAAATGAGAATGGATTCGAATGAAAGTTGCACGTTACACTTTACTTTCAGTCATTTTAGATCCCACTTCATGACAGAGAAAAAGACAGCAAGCCACTTCACTCTCAAACTTTTACAATCCCAGTTTGCCACAGAGAACAAGATAGTAAGCGAGAGTACCTTTGATCACTACACCAAATCAATCAAAACACTTGCTGATTTGATTGAAGAGAACTAAGACCATTAATTTAGCTAGAATTCATCCCCTGCCCCTGCTGACGAGTCAACAGCTCATGTGACTCCTATCCTATAAGTGATGTACAACATTTTTTAACTTCTTTGTTGATAGATGGTGCGTTGCTACAAAAACAATCTTTTGTTTAAACTATCCACTGACAAAATATTCACGTGACATTCTATCAACAAAGATGTATACCAAGATATACACCAAACCTCATTGAAAATGCTATGCTTAAACACAACACATACCTTCCAATGTATATATATTTTTCTTTGCATTACTTCCAAGTGGTATACATACTAGAGTATTATGGTTAACAAACTAGGAAGTTCTTACACTAAAATGTTTTACTAATAATAAAAAGAAAAAATTAAAGAGGAAAGGATAAAGAGCTAAGAAGTTCCTGAGTTTGGATCAAATTCATTATCCTCCATCATCACGGCCTCTTTGATTTCTTGTATCATCTTCAAAACTTCCCACGTTGTCGGCCTTTGCTCCGGTGAGGTCACACTACAAGCCACAGCCACATCAAGAAGCATTTCCAACCTATCATCCTCCTGAACATCCTCGTCTCTACTTGATTTCACCCACTTGGTCATATTGTCTGGTGTTAAACACGGGTGTTGTGATGGATGCTTCCCAGAGAGAAGCTCAAGCAAAAGAACTCCAAATGAGTAGACATCTGACTTGGATGTCGCTTCACGGTGGTTGAACTTGCGAAGTTCCGGGCCTTTATAGGCGGTCGAGTCAGGGTCGTCTTCCGTGGCAGGGCGGGCAAGGGCAACGAGGCAATAGTCAGTGAGACATGCCTCGAAGTCAGAACCGAGGAGGACGTTGGAGGACTTGAGATTGCCATGGACAAGCCTCCATGCTTGATGGATGTAGGAGAGGCCCTGAGCTATGTCCTCTGCTATTTTCAAGCATGATGTCCAGTGCAGAGGTTTCGCTCTTGATGACTTGGAACCTGATGATTTAGTAATGATGACAAGTAAAAACTGACTAGTTAGATAGAGAAAGTATAGTGCATGTTTGATACACGGTACCAATTCACAAGAATTTAGTTTCTTTTTCTTTACTATTATTGTTCAATACCGTCTGTCCAACTCATAAAATGAAAAAGAAGAGTGCCATGATCAAATAGGACAACAATTTATAATTTTGATTTTTGAGTTAATGTTTCTATACTACATATGATTCAAGAAATGTTGAGTGGAGTTCATCTAATTGACTGCTAAAATAACACAGCAAGCAATATGGTGCAAGAATCTGTAAACTTGGGTAGTGCAATGCATGTGGGAAGGGGGAAATCCATGTTATACTGGACGTGGAGGTGCTGCGCACTTGGCCAACGGAATCCCTACCGCTTGGTAAATAACCGAGGTAATTGGGTTGGGTTAGCATAGAATCATAGCATAGAGTGGAATTTAACAAGAACATTTTGAACTAAAAAGTCAGTTTCAGCCTTACAAAAAAAAAGGCCTTCAATTCACTGCCCCTTCCCCTTCCCCTTCCCCTTCGTACACGGGACCCTGAAAGCTATTTTGTAGATTCCGACTAAATGCAAATGGGGGATTTCTCTATCCAACTTGGTTCTTCCCCCACAATTACCTGTAGCATCAAAAGTGCTTATGGTAGAGTTCAGTAAGTTAAGACCGGCAACATAGAACATGAGAACCTTTTCTTAAAATCCAGTCAAGTGCCATCCCATTTAGTATATCAAATATGTCGTTATTATCCATGGGGAAAAAGCTAATCTCTCATTAAACTCCCAAACAAAAAAATTATATTATACCAGTTCCCAGTGTAGACAGCTGCTAGATTCTCTTTGTTGGTCATGAAAGCAACAAAATATTAATCTACTGCCAAAATCTAGCTTCATCTGCTAATAAAATCAGATAATAATCTTATTTTGCACGTCCTAGTACACATCGTACAGTGTAATAAAATTCCAGCTCTCCACAACTTTTAAGATACTACATTTAAATAGGGATGTCAATTGGCCAAGCCGAGCACAGGTTTGCTCTCGGCTTGCCCCATTTCCCACCGCTACATTTAAGTAATCCTGAAATCACACTAAATACTGCATGATGCTCATTCAAGAAACACAAAGATTGAAGTGCAAGTTTGGGATACATTATTAGACACTACAATTGGATGACTCCATACAGGATTCCAATCCAACTTACTGCACATACTACTATTCGTCTTACTGAACAATCATAGTTAATATAAAAGATCGGATTTTAACAAATATTTTCACTTTAATGTCATCAAAAACCATCTAATTCAACTTGCTGATTGCTACAATTGGACGTACTTGGTAGTATAGTAGACAAGATAGGATTTTAACTTTCGTCTACTTTAACTTACCAAACATGCTACGAATGGACATACAATGTAACACACAAGATAAGATTTTGACATCATGTTCACTTTTTTTAATATTGTCTAAATTCAACTTATCGATCAGGCCAGAAAAAAAGGTAATCAGTGAAGAAGTCAGAATTTACCATGAATAAGAGAAGAAAGACTGCCATTAGGCTGGTAATCATAGACCAATAGCCGTTCTTCCTTGCCCTGAAAATAAGCCCTAAGAGGCACCAAATTTGGATGCCTCAGTCCACCCACTGATTCCATGTGCCCCTCGAAAACCTCTTGGCTTGTGCCACTCAATCTCCCAGCGTCCAATCTTTTTACAGTAACAATCAAATGGCTATCAAGCACTGCCTTGTAGGTGGTCCCCATTGATCCCCTACCCAACAGCTGCGCAGATGCCCTCATCAGCTGGTCCATCGAATAAACATGCGCCTCACCTGCACAGAACGATAAGCTCCCACTCTTCCCCACCATTTGTATTTGCATTCCTTCTTGAACTCTCCTCACTCTCTCTTCCAATTCGTTGTTTTCTTCTTCAATTCTTATCACAGCCTCGGCATTCCCCGTCACGCTAGAATCGAAACCTATTGATTTCGAACCTTCAATCTTGGGAGCTTGACGGAGTTTCTTCGCCGTAAAAATCAAACAAATCGAAGAAATAAGCAAAATGAAAACCCCGGATGAGAACCCAATTATGAAATCTGTTTTCTTTCGTTTGTGGTTGTTTTTATTTTGTTGGGTCAATGCGCCGTGAAACTGGGCGGTTTGGGAAAGCGCAGCCGCGGCTGGCGGCGGCGGAGATGGGTTTGAACGAAAAAAGGGTTGTATTGGGCGGCATTCTTTGTGTATAATCTCGCCACAAAGTCTTGCATTCAACGAAAACGATGACGCTCTGAACCGGGAAAGAGTTGGTGTAACTGGAATTGCACCACTGAGTTCATTATGTGATACATTGAAGATTTGTAAGGTGGACTGGTTTAAAGGTGGGAATGATCCATTGAACCGGTTATAGTCTAGCCGAAGGAAGTACAACCGGTCGAGGTTGTTCAAAGAAACCGGCACCGGACCGGTGAGCATATTGTAAGACAGATCAAGTGTTTTCAGACGATGGAGGGTTGAAATCGACGGAGGAACAGAACCGGCAAAGTAATTGTAGGAAAGAAAAAGGGATTTCAGATTGACCAAACCGGAAAGATCGGGAATTGGGCCGGTGAGCGAGTTGTTCTGAAGACTCAGAACTCTAAGCTCACCGAGACGACTCAAGCTATTTGGAGCAAATGTACCACCGAGTTTCATTCCTTCTATAATGACTTTAACTGCTCTGAAATCAGTACATTGTACTCCATTCCATTTGCAGAATGCAAAGCTTGTGTTGGGAGAGAAAGCTAGTTTGTTGTGCAAATCTGCTTTTGATTTGAAAGACAATAAAGCAGCAGCATCAGATGGTTGCAAAATGTTTTTTGAAGAAGATGAGGAAGCTCCTGACTGGAAGTATATCGAGAGAAAAATAAGCAGATTTTGCAGAAAACATTGTACTCCCATCTTCAAGAAAAGAAAAGAAAATGGAAATTGAAGTGTTAAGAGGATAAGAAATGAAAATGGAGATAGGCCTTCTGTTTTCTTGAAATTCCTGTACTCTCACATGACAGACTGTGAATGGAAATTGAATGGAGATCTGTCTCAGGATCACCGATCACAGTTTAAATTATGGGTTCATGTTATACTTTTCTTAAAACTATGGCATCCGTGTCCTCAACTATTCGAGTGACCTCCATTAAAATTATGGGTAATGCTACATGTACACACAGACTTTTACACAATCTTTTATACCTCTCTCACATGAAGGGGGTCCACGATTATTTTATTATGTATGGGCCCCCCTCCATGTAAGGTGAGTGTAAAAAATTGTGTAAAAGATTGTGTACACTTAGCATTATTCTAAAATTATTACTCTTTTTTTTTTTATCAACTACACATTTTATAATAAAATAATATTACACGTAAATAATTTACGGTAAATTCAAAACATTTTTTCATTTTTAATCACATTTTTCAAAAAAAAAAAATTGTTCCAAAAATTATAATCACAAATAATTGTGGCCAAACGGGGACTAAGTTTAATGGAATATGTTATTTGTACACATAAAGTGTACATTAAAATTCACATATAAAGTGTTGTTAAAATTAAAGACAAAAATATGTGTTACCTCACAACGTCGAAAAAAAAAAAAAAATCTATCAAATTGAGAGTGTGTTTGGTAGGGATTTTTAGGAGAAAAATTGATTTTTGAATAGTGATATGATGGGAAATGTGTGGTTGAAAAAGAAGAAAAAAGTATTGATGTGATGGAAAATGTTATTTTATTGAAAAATGTGTGGTTGAAAATGAGAATTGATTTACTGTAGAAAATGAAAATCTATAGCAAACAGGCTCTAAAGCAGAAAACCCCTACTATTTCATTGAGTGTAGATTTGCTTGACATTACTCGATGTTGGGACGAATTGAAATGACAAGACATGTTTCATTATCATTGAGAAATTTTACTCTTTTAAATAAAAGTTGAAATCATTGTTTGAATTATTTTGGCATAAATGACATCTTTCTACCGAATTTTACTTTTTCAGTCACACGATCATTTGATATTTTACATTAACATTTTCAGGTAACAGCGCTTTGAAAGATTAAGGACCCCTACTGAAATTTATCCTAAATTTTGTTATGAGGTAAAATTTGATCACAGCAAGTACATTTCACTCTAGTGTCAATCGCACAATTATACTTCAAGTTTGTTCAATTGAAAGTTACAATTTAATTTGATTTCAATTAGGCTAACTTTAAACCAATTTTATTGGCCAAAATCAGCGATTTAACCATCAATAATGATGGTCATGACACATGGTCGTTAGTAGTTGACGAAATAAGTGCAGTTTCAATAAAATAAAAGAACATATACATGTAGCATTACAAGGAGGCGGAAGACATTAAACCATTGGATCTGGGACAAAAATTAGTTTTGTCCCAATTAATCCTTCTCTACCACACGTCTATCCGTCAATCTCCTTGTACAATCTCCTCATACAAGGAGATTGAGGTGTGTTTGAGCCACGTTATTTTGGAAAAATGTATTCTGTAATAGTAGATTAATGAAGAATGTGTAGTTGAAAAAAAAAAAAATTATTGATGTGATGGAAAATATTATTTTAATAAAGAATGTGTGGTTGAAAATGAATAGAATAATGAAAATGAAATTTTTAATATGTTATTCTGGAATAGTAGATTAATGGAGAATATGTGGTTGAAAAAAAAAGAAAAATTATTGATGTGATGGAAAATATTATTTTATTGAAAAATGTGTGGTTGAAAATGAATAGAATAATGAAAATGAAAATTTTAATAAGTACCAAACGGGGTTTGAACTACATTACAATTTTCATTTTCATTCTTTTACTCATTTTAAACACACATTTTTCAATAAAATAATATTTTTCATTACATCAATAATTTTTCCTTATTTTTCAACCACACATTCTCCATCAATTTATTATTCCAAAATACATTCTTCCAAAATAATATGGCTCAAACACACCATAAACGATGACCATCATTATTTATTGTCATATCATTGATTACATCATTACAAGTAATGGAATTGGATGAAGTTACTAATTGAAAATTTGAAATCAAATTAAAGTATAGCTGTCCGATTGAATAAAATTGAAATATAATTATTTGATGTCAATATGCTCTATATATGGCTTTTGTGGAAGTTCACATTAACTTGTGACTTTTTAGTGTTTACTTTTATTAATGAATTAAGTACCCGTTTGACAATTATTCTTTTAAATTTTTTTTTTCATACTTATTTTCAATTACACATTTTCACAATAAAATATTTTTTACGTAAATTTAAACTGTTCACTACAAGTTCTTCAAAAATTTACTATTTAAAAACTTATTCTTTTCAAATGAAAATGGATGTCAAACAATTGCTAAAAAGAGCACATGAAATTTGTGTTGAACTTGTTTATGAATGTATGAACTTAATTTAATTTGCATTTATAATCAAACCAAAACAAACCAAACTAGAATCAAATAATTTGGTTCTAGTACGGTTCTATCGTTAGAGTGTGTTTGGTGCATATTAAAATGAGAGAATGCATTTTTTTGAAGTGATGTGATGGGGAATATGTGGTTGAAAAAGAAGAAAAAATTATTGATGTGATAGAAAAATTATTTTATTGAAAAATGTGTGATTGAAAATCAATAGAAGAATGAGAATGAAAAAAATAATGTGGCTCAAACAAGGGCTTACACATAAAATCAATTATTTCATTTTGAAAAAACAATCAATTTGAATTTTTGAGTTAGACTCAAAATTTAGCCCTTGTTTGATGCTCGCTATTTTATTAAAATAAGTTTTATAATAGTAATTTTTAGAGAATGCATCATTAAAATGTAAAAATAAATTTGATTTTTTCTACAAAATATTTTAATGTGGGAACGAGGACGAAAAAAAAATAAATTTTGAAATAAAAATGAAATAGGGTTATTCAAATCAGAATCAAATCTAATCATGCTTCCTCTTGTACTCGGGTTGGGCAATAGGGTTTCGGAGAGGAAAATGGTGACAAAAGCACGAAAGGAGCGAAAGAGCAGAGGTGTCGGAATTTTGTCAGAATCACGTGAAAGAAGAAAAGCAATAAGAGTGAGAAAAGAGGTGGGGAATTCCTATGTATCATTTGTTGTTTTCAGTTACTCTCACCGTTTCTTGGTCCAACGCCAACAACATGGATAAATTGGCTTCAAACCTAGCATATTTTGCCCCAAGAGTAATTATTATTTACGGATACAACAATAGGTCAGTTCGTCCAATGATAGGTCGACTCTACCATGATAGGTCAGCTCTACTAGTGGTGATCAGCTCTTCTATATTAAGTCATCCCGACTCTTCATCATTCAAAAACATCGTCATTTAGCATATGTCTCCTAAATCGTGTCTCAACACTAGGACGATCACTCTCAAAACGACAAGTGACACCTATGACGTCAGCATCTCATTTTCAACCAATCATAAATCGTCAACGATTATCTATGTGACATGTAATCATAACCTAAGTCACGTTGACTCATTCAATGGACCTCAACAATCAATCAACATCCTTGAATTTAGGATGTGACACTCACTTATAGATCGAACTGTTGTCGTTGTGATGTTAGGTGACCAAATTGCTTGATTAGAGGTCTATAAATGAAGATCAATAGTATTCTCCAATGGGGATCAAACTTAATATATTTTCTAATACACTCTAAAAACACTCAAATTTTCTTTTTACTATTTCAGTGAATTACCCTAATTCAATTTATCAATTAAGTTGATCAAAATTGACCACGTCATTTTTGAACGTCAACAAAATTCTTTAAATATAGAAATATGAGTCTCATGCAAGAATAATTAAATCGATTAAAATGCTCAAGGATTTGGAGTTGAACTAAGATGGAATTGATATTAAGCAAATCTTGACTAGAACTGACCATGTTTGACTCTCACTATATAAAAACTCATTTTTATTAAAATTCATTTTTTAATTATACATTTTTCAATAAAATAATTTTACACGTAAATTAATTTATTATTATTATTATTATTATTATTATTATTATTATTATTATTATCATTTTTGACAATACATTCTTAAAATCACTATTATAAAACCTTTTTTTTTTTTACACAAAATGGGGCTCAAACATAGCCTATATTTAGAAATGTAGAATCATTATGATTATTCAACACATTGATTAAAATTAAACAAGCAAGTCTTGAGAATTACAGAAGTTTGTAATCAACATGTGAAAAGAATGCAATCCTACGGTAGAAGTTCAAAATATGCCACCTGACCAATCAATCAAGCAAAT